GATATTATATAAGAAAAGATTAGGGGTCCAGGAGACACAGCAATAGAAACTAACCCAAATGAAATAAAGTGAGCTATGGAATTACTTCAAACAGCCTGATATGCATGTAATTAAAGCCTCTGAAAAGAAGAGAAAGAAAGGAAGATACAAATAATATTTTAAAGTAATGGCTGAAAGTTTTTTGAATTTGATAAAAACCTATATACCTACTGAACCAAGAATCTCAATGAACCCTTAGCAAAAGAAAGATGAAGAAAAGTATGCCAAGGCATATCATAATTGAAGTTCTCAAATCTAAAGAGAAAATCTTAAAAGTAGTCGGGTTGGGGGTGGCAGAGAAGACATGTCACAGACAGAGAAACAAAGATAAGGGAGGGGGTCATATTTTTTATCAGAAGTAATGTGAATGAGAAGATAGAGGAGCAACATCTCTAAAGTACTGAAAGAAAAAAAAAAAACTTTCAACCTAGAATTCTATACCCAGCAAAAGTATCTTTTAAAAATAAAAATGAAAGAAAAACTTTTCAGACGTGAAAGAATTCATCCACAGCAGACCCACACTACAATAGTAGTATGTAAGAAGTCCTTCACATAAAAGAAAACTGATGTCAAATGGATATGATGCTCTACACCAAGGATTAAACAGAACCAGACCTTAAAACTGCAGAGGGTAGAGTACTTCCAAACTCACTTGATGAGGTCATCACTACCCTAATACCAAAACCAGACAAAGACATTAGAAGAACAGAAAACTATATTGACGGAAAGATCAATGATTGCCAGGGGACTGGGGTTGGAGGAAGGGATTAACTGCTAAATGACATGAGGAATATTTGGGGGCTTATGGAAATGGTCTATATTTTGTGTATTGGTAGATTCATGGGTGTACACATCTGTCAAAACTCATCAAATTGTATAATTTAAATGTGTAGTTTATTACATGTAAATTATACCTCAATAAAGCTGGTTAAAACAAAACAAAATAAATGAAAACAGCATATCTGGCAGATACTGTGGTTTGTCTCACTCAGTAACCTATCCAGAATCTAGAATGTCTTCCTGTGCTATAGAGTGTATAGCAGTGCATAGAGGCTAGAAACCTAAAAAGCATATTTCCCATTTTCCCTCACTGCTTTCACATGTGACTTATTTAGTAACCACAAACAGATACACTCACTCAAGACTTTATTAGGAAGAGAATTTGGCAGAAAGAAGGGCAGAGAACAAGTCATCCATTTTGCTGGTGTGGACCATGGCAAAGACAGCAAGTTACTGGAGCTGACCACCTCCAGATTGTGGCAGAGGCTTCCTTGGTGGCCCATTTCTGGGAAAATTGGAAGTAATTGGAAAATTGGAGAAATTTTGGAAGTAGTCCCTAGAAACATGCCTAGAGTCTGTATTTCTAGTGTGTCTACTAGCTATGCTCAATAATAATTCCTTCATTCTTAAGTTGAATAAAACAGTACTTTAAATAGATATAGAATTATCAAGCAGTCACAACTCAATATCAGCTAATTTAAGAGACCCCTCTAGATCATGAGCCTTTCCGTTCCTCTCTTTGTTACTGGAGTCCACACTTGGATTCATTCTACATGTGTCATAGCTCAGCTCAGTTCCAACGTGGATTTTGTGAACTCTTACTGTAGAGTTTTATGGTTGGTCCATAATCAAGATACTATTTCTAACTCATTTCCTACGGGTATTTCTAAGATTATTTATGTCCAAACTGTTGGAACACAATCTTTTTGTGTAAAGCTTTTCTGATGCCAAAACAATAGGGCACTTGCCCCAAGTAAGTTCCAAGCTGAACTTGCTCCTCCCCCCATCTCTCTCCCTCCACCACTGAGCATCCCAGGGCAGTGTAGATTTGTTTTCTAAAGTAATTTCTTTCCCTTGACTATTCCATTGCTTCCATCTTGAGTTTTTAGTTTGGCTGGGGAAGACAGTCATCAGGCAAAAAGAGCATCCTTGTCAATTCTTCCATTCTTGCCCATAGAAGGAGTCCTGTTAGCTTCCATTCAGTGAAAATAACTGAATTCTTTTGGCACCACCCACCCTGGGTCTGATGGCAGTGATGGCAGTAAAATTAGGGAGCTGCGAAATGTCATCATCCTCTCTCCATCCCATCTCACTGTCTCCCGCACTCTGCCTCCATACGCCTCTGTTTGTGTCTCTATTTCGTTCTCTGGCTCTGTTTGTCTATTTCTTTCTCTCCATCCTTAAAGACAGTTGTATTTGTGCAGATGATTCACACATCTTGATTTTTCTCATTTATTTAAATTTAAACTAAGTCAAATGTTTTCATGTAACTGTTTAAAACATCACAGATGTTAAGGAACATCAGTTCCTTTTCCTCCCCCAAAATTATGCTTCACCACATGCCAAAACCCAGCAGAGGGCATCCTTCCATTTCAGATGTGCACACTGTAGGCTAAGTCAAATGTTTTCATGTAACTGTTTAAAACATCACAGATGTTAAGGAACATCAGTTCCTTTTCCTCCCCCAAAATTATGCTTCACCACATGCCAAAACCCAGCAGAGGGCATCCTTCCATTTCAGATGTGAAAAAACTGAAGGGAAAAGGCTCTACAATTCTGGCAATGTACTCCATTTGCAACTGTGCACTGGAATCTAAATAAAGGGGCTACTGTAGTAGTAGGGAAATTCGTTACATAAGCTGTTCTGGAGTATTTATCTCCATTTTGAATTATAAATTTAGAAGTAATTCCCCTTTCATAAGAAAAAAAAAAAGGAAAAAAGATCTCGTCTCTGGCCTCTCTCCAGATTTGGGGAATTAGCTTCAAATTTCAGAAGCAGCAGGTAGCACCTCTGTGATCCCTCTGCCTCTAGGCATGTGTGTAAATAAAGTGATCACAGAGACAAAGCAATCGAGAAAGAACTCTGCACCCTACCTCCTCTGTTGCACTCTCCCTCTATCCCTGAAACTGAAAGACAAATAGCAAGAGAGGCATTTTGCCTGTTACACTGAAAAGTAGGAAGAAGATGAGCCTGGTCAGGAGCAGAGTAGCAGGTGGGGCCCACTTTGTACCTGTGTAAGTAAGCAGTCGCCCACTAAGATTAATTGTGCAGCTTCGCAGAACTTAAAATTCCACAATGAAAAATATCTTACATTGTCAGAAGAATTTCCCCCAGGTTACAACGCAAATACCCACAACCCTTATCAGTGATTTTCTCCGCAGTGTGGATGAGTTTATGAGATTTTCTTTCCTTGTGGAAGAATGTCTTAGGAGAGAAGGAGAGAATAGGAGGAGACAATATAGCATCATTCCTACATCCATTCAGCACACGTTTTTGAGCACCTTATGCCAAACCCTGTTCTAGGTGCTAAGAACCCACCAGGAAACAAACTAGCAAAAATCACTTTCCTTGAGGTGATGTGTCAGAGTGCAAGGGTCTGGGGAATCGGACAGACCTAACTTTGAGTCCTGGTCCTGCCAATTACCCAGCTATGTCTGTATATATATATATATATATATATATACATATATATATGTATATATATATATACATAAATATATAAATATATGTATATATACAAACACACACACATATATATACACACACACACTATATACAGTGTATATATCAGTAAAATCCTCAAAATTAGACTAAGAAAAGTTCTATTATCATTATCATTTTCATTTTACAAATGAGGAAATCAGGCACAGAGTGATTTATAAATTTCCCAGAATCAGAAGTAGCAGAGCAGGAATTTGAAACAATGCTGCCCGATTTCAAAGCTGTCTTGCCTCTTAACCGGTGCGCCAGAGAGTTGATTTCTAGGGCCTGAGGACTAGATGAGATGACACATATAAGCTGAGAGTATAGTATAGTACTTTTTAAATTTTATTTATTTATTCATTCATTCATTCATTCATTCTGTCATTATTATCACTGCCATTGTTATGGGTTTCTGGGACCTCAGGGTATATGTTGAAGGTATAAGATAAGAGGCTCAATACTTGAATCAAAATACTTCTAGTTCAGAATCTATCTGTGTCCAGCTCTGGTTAAAAGTAAGACTGCATAACATCATAGCTACTGAATCATGGCTTCTCTGCATTAATCTTTCCGTAAGATGACAGGCGGCCTCCAACAGCCATGGCTCTAGACAGGATATCAGGACACAAGCTCCCTGTAACAAACAGGAGCATTTCCTGCTCTGGCTTTTTCTAACCTTCCCTGGAAGCTGAAGGTTAAGACCAGATTTGAAATGAAACCAAGATGCAAGGATCCATCTGTGGTTGACGGCCGCTTTTTGTTCTCTGATCAGTGACCTTGTAGTCAGTCCCACCCCCCTCAACTGCTGGTGTCCCTTTGCTCTCTCTCTTTCCAAACTGCACTCTCCAAAGCCCCCTTTCTTGGGCTTCATACTGATGAAGCTTGTTCATAGATCAGTGGGGGTTAAAGATGCCAACAGTGCTACTCAAAGAGCAAGGAAGCAGTCATGTTTTGTTGCTGCTCTGGGAGTTCTCTGCTCGCCTGTAAGCATGCACTTGTGTCTCACGTTCTCGCATTACCAAAATCAAGAGTCATTTTAAACAAGCAGATAAAATTCTGGCTCCGGGCCCAATTTCTTATTGATTTCATTTCACGACTGTCATCTTAGTTTCATTAAGTAGGAAACTGAGTGTTTGATAATGGGGTATAGGAGAATTCACAAATGCATATCTCATATATTCCATTTTTCTTGCCTGCACTAAAAAAAAAGTTTTTATCCCACATGTCAAGCTTCACAGTGCAAAACTCAAGTCAACTAAACATTTAAAAAATGTATTTCTATGCAAAAAGGCAATTTCATGCTGATTTCATCTCACCATGACCCTGCAGGGGTGAACACTGTAGCAACACATCATTTAGGATAGAAATAAGTGCTTCAAACCCTTTGGATTGAACTTAAAAAAATAGCTAGTATGCTGGTAGCTATGATGCCATAGCCTTATAGCTTTCTATCAACACTGGTTGGGTTCAATAAAAAAGAAGATTTTCCTTAGCAGATACTCACCCCAAGATAATGGCCATCGATGAACACGACAGGAAGCGAAGGAGCTTCAGAAACCCGTCGGCATCGTTCATCTAATTCTTTTCCATAGTCACCATTCAGAGCTATGTTTTTCTCTTCAAATTTTACCCGATGGTTTTGGAAGATCTTTCTTACCAGTTCACACCTTTCAAAGGTTGTCCGTACCACACGAAGGCAAGTCGTATAAATCACTACGCGGTCAAATTCTAGGTCAGTTGATGGTTGCTGCAGGAAAATATTATAGTGTAAATATTTTGGCATTTGCTTTCTTACATCTCTTTATTTTAAGACAATTAACATTTCAGCCAACGTCTTACACATTAAAGGCCTGCAATAAAAGTTGAATAAGCACGATATTTGTCAATTCTAAGACATGGATTTATACTTTAGAACATCTGTAATTGCAATAAGGATGACAATCAACATAATTTAAATGACATAATTTAACTGACAGTATTTTTTCTGTTCCCAATGGCATATCAGATAATGGCATATCTTTTTTTTTTTAACATCTTTATTGGGGTATAACTGCTTTACATTGTTGTGTTAGTTTCTGCTGTATAACAAAGTGAATCAGCTATACATATACATATATCCCCATATCTCCTCCGTATTGCATCTCCCTCCCACCCTCCCTATCCCACCCCTCTAGGTGGTCACAGAGCACTGAGCTGATCTCCCTGTGCTATGCGGCTGCTTCCCACGATCTATCTATTTTACATTTGGTAATGTATATATGTCCCTGCCACTCTCTCACTTCGTCCCAGCTTACCCTTCTGCCTCCCCGTGTCCTCAAGTCTATTCTCTACGTCTGCATCTTTATTCCTGTCCTGCCCCTGGGTTCTTCAGAACCATTTTCTTTTTTTAGAGTCCATATATATGTGTTAGCATATGGTATTTGTTTTTCTCTTTCTGACTTACTTCACTCTGTATGACAGACTCTAGGTCCATCCACCTCACTACAAATAACTCAATTTCATTTCTTTTTATGGCTGAGTAATATTCCATTGTAATTGGCATATCTTAGAATTGATGATGCCTCACATGGCATGCCATGTGGTGAAATAAGGAATGGTTGAATTATTTTTCTCATGTTTTGTAGACATCATTCAACTACAATAGCTGCCTCTTATACCCAAAGCAGAACATGGAACAGAACAGACAAGGTTAGCATTTAACCATTTGAAAATTCTTCTACTCATCAACTTACCAAATTTTACAGCTTTTTTGAGCCAAAATTTACTGGGAATAACAAGATCTATATCACAGGATTGTTCTGAGATTTAAGAGGCATAAAATGCGTGCATGAGCTCTGTTGAATGACAGGCTCCCGTGTGCAGTGAGAAGGTTCTGCCGTGAGGAACAGAAGACATAGTGGCTCAGAGAGAGTGCACAGAAACCCATATCAAGGTGGGCAGCAGGTCAAAGCCAGGCATAAAAAGGAAACAAGGAAACAGTACACTGCAATGGAGTGTAAGCAATTGGAGGCTTACACTCTCAAAATGGAGGCAAGCAACTCTCAAAACCAAGGTGAAGATGCCTAAAGAGAGAATCTCTTTTTGTCTATGTTTCCTGCTGCATCAGAAATCAGTGACTGCATTCAAACCCTGCCAGCACTGCGAGGGCCTTATCAGCTAGGTCCTGACATCACCAGGGTGACATCACCCTCTTCCTCTTTATTATAGCCTTATTTGAAGGAGACTGAACAGAACCCAACCATATACCATGAGATCAAGGGATACGTGAGTCTCCACAGTGCTACAGTTGTTGAAAGACAGCCACACAACTTATAAACTCCTGTGAAATCAAAACTTTGATTTGAAACCACTCCAGATGGCTAAATACTAGAACCAGAAGGTAAGATACTAAGCTTCACCACTTTGTACTCAAAGAAATCAGACCACTCTCTCAGATGCAAACACAGATAGTCCTAGAAAGATACGAAGTGATGGAAATGGCTGTGCAATGGTCTCCACTTCACCGAGAGACCAGACATTTTTTTTTTCCTAATGGTAAAATGTATTAAAGACGTAAGAATCTTTTCTTTCCTCAATAGAGTTTAGAAGCTAAGTTGAAAACCAGAGGCCTGGAGGGGCCAAGCAGGTGTCATAAATGCTGGAGCAGACCAGGAGTAAATGAGATATTAGTGAGAAGCAGGGAGAGTGTCATTTGAAAGGGAAAAACATAACTCAGCTTCAGGCAAGTTTCAGGAATGTCACTCAGTGTTGTCAGATATGATTATTGTAAATATAAACTTGAAATCTGGATTTTTACAGGAAATTTTCTGCATTCTAAATAGTGGCACCCCATTAAAAAATGTATTGAGACCCCTGGACAAAATATCTGAAGGCTGAATTTGGCCTATATACTGCTAATTTATAACACTGGAAAGGAGAGAGCCCCAGGGATGTATATCAGATATACCTGGATTCTGTCTCTGGCCATCTCTGTCTTTGGGAAGCTAATGAGCTGTTTAGCCTCAGTTTTCTCATCTGTAAAATGTGATAATAGTGGTGGTAGCTACCTAATAGGTTTGCTGAGAAGATTAAGAAGACAACTAGTGTAGGGCTTAAAACATAGTACTGTGCTGAGTTATACACTGCAAAGATATTACCCTCCACATTATGGAATTTTTAAGATTAAAACCACAAGCAAAAATAAATCAATGGAAAACATCAATGCAATTAATGACAAGAAAAGAGGATTATTACTAGGCTTTAGATTAAGAAGCACTGATCTTCAAAAAGAGTAACCAAATGCCCAAGAGCCTCTGGTTCCTCTTCATATTCACAATTATGAACAAGCTGGGAATCAAGGAACTCACTGTAAATGTTGCAGCTTTTGGAAGAGCACCAAACTTCTCTTTTTCCTGATATTATCTGAGTAATTATGCATTGTTCCTCTGGCTGCAAAGACTGCTATAACTACATTTGTTTCTACCAAAATGTTCCACTTATTTCAATAGTACACTTACTTTTGAAATATTTTATAGGAAATACATTTCCCCACGTGAAGAAGTGGGAAAATTTCAGATTGGACCATTCTGTTCTCACTCAGGATTCTCTCTGCTCGTACAACATATGCTTGGTACCACTTTTCTGTGTATCTCTAAGAGATAGACATTTAAAAAATAGTAATATGAACCCTTATCAAGTGGCCATGTTAGATGCTGTTCAGTGCAAAGGCTAACAAAAAAATATCCCTTTGCCTACTGTTGAGGATGAGCTTTGCCTGGAATCAGTGATTCTCCAAGAGTATTGGATATTAGAATAAACTAGGGAGCTTTAAAAATCCCCAAAGCCCAGGCCAAGCACATACCAGTTATATCAGAATCACAAGAGTGATTTTTTTTGAAATCTCCTCTGGCAATTCCAATGTGCAACCAAGTTCTAGAGCTAGTTGGATACCAGTTGGAAATGCAGAATCATGAGCTTCACCCCAGATCTACTGAATCAGAATCTGCACTTTAACAAGTTCTCTGGGAAATCTGGGTGCACATTATATTTTTGAGGAGCCCTGGTGAAGTCACATAGGCAGCTTGACTTGTCAGAGAAACTGGGTTTATGTCCCTTTAAAATAACTGCTAGTCATTTATACAGTCATTAGAATAATTTGCCAAACATATGCTAGGCACTATATATATAATGGGGAGCAAAAATTATAATTCCTAACGACTTGGAGCTCATAGTTTAAAGTAATAAAAAAACTAAAATGTTACATAAATCAATATAGAATTACAAACTATTAAGTGATGCAAAGGAAATGCACAGGTTGTTAGAAGAGGCTACGGCAGAAGGGCCTTTTCTGTTTTAGAGGTCGAAAAAGCGTTTTCTGATATTTGCGCTCTGATTTAAAGGATAAGAAAGAGTTACAGGCATTAACTAGGCAGAGCGCATGGGGGAAAAGTCACAGAAAAGTGCAAAGATGTTGAGATGGAGGAAGATGGCATGTTTGAGACTCTGAAAGAAGGTATTTGCTGAAACACAAAGGAGAATTATAATAATACTGAATGATTCTGGACACGCATGTAGGATCAATATCATGTTGTATTTTATAGCCACTCTATGGCCTTTAACCTAAGAGCAATGAGAAATTCCTGAAGGCTTTTAAGGAGGATGGGAGGGGTTTACATATTTTAAAAATAACTGAAGCAGGGCTTCCCTGGTGGCGCAGTGGTTGAGAGTCCACCTGCCGATGCAGGGGACGCGGGTTCGTGCCCCGGTCCAGGAAGATCCCACGTGCCGCGGAGCGGCTGGGCCCGTGAGCCATGGCCGCTGAGCCTGCACCTCCAGAGCCTGTGCTCCGCAACGGGAGAGGCCACAACAGTGAGAGGCCCGCATACTGCAAAATAAATAAATAAGTAAATAAAAATAAGTGAAGCAGGGCCAGTGCAGATAGTTGCACAGGATGTGCACTGCACAAACCTAGAGACTGTCATTATTAGCAAAGAAGAAAGGAAGGATGCCCCCAGGGTTGTGTGATCCCACAACTTGAGCAATCGTACTCAGTCTCATTCCCAACTCCCTTGGTCTGAAAACTGAGCTTGAATCCAGGGTAAATTCAAGGTAGGAAATATAGTTTATCTAGTAGAATAGGCTATTAAGTAAAATTTTGTAAAAATAATCTTACTGAACGATTTTTTGATATGATTTGAAAGTGGATCTTTCTAGAGGTAGAAGTGGGTTAAATGATTCCTCAAGGTTGTTTCCAGTTTCAGAATATCAGTTTGAAATGATATTGTCTTTAGAAAAAGAAATCCTCTTCTGCACTTGCCTCATTTTCTTTCCCTCAACAGATCTGTCAGAGCATTTGGCCAGAAATCTAAAAATAGCCCCTCGGTGGTTAGCTGTCCCTCTTCTCCCTTCCTGAGAGTTCCCATGGGAACAGCGTAATGAAGGATGGAGGCATCTGAGACAGCGCTAAGAAGCCACTGGGATTTGCAGTCCACTTGATCTGAGAAAGCCAACCTAGATGTTAATGAAGGCAAGCCGTTTCTTCCTTTCCATTGATTAAAAAGATGACTCTTTGGGGTGCCCCGAAGCCTCACAACAACCTGCAGCAAACGTAGATGTGTTGGTAAGGGACGGAAATTGCTGTGAACAAGACTAAGGAGGGAAGAGATATGGGGATATATGTACATGTATAGCTGATTCACTTTGTTGTAAAGCAGAAACTAACACACCACTGTAAAGCAATTATACTCCAATAAAGATGTTAAAAAAAAA